CAACCTAAGTAGCAATGGCCTCCAACCTAAGTAGCAATGGCCTCCAACCTAGGTAGGGATGGCCTCCAACCTAAGAGCGCGATGGCCTCCAACCTAAGTAGCAATTGCCTCCAACCTAAGTAGCAATGGCCTCCAACCTAAGTAGCAATGGCCTCCAACCAAAGTAGCAATGGCCTCCAACCTAAGAGCGATGGCCCCCAACCTAAGAGCGATGGCCTTCAACCTAAGAGCGATGGCCTCCAACCTAAGAGCGATGGCCTCCAACCTAAGAGCGATGACCTCCAACCTAAGAGCGATGGCCTCCAACCTAAGAGCGATGGCCTTACCTGGCCAGGGACCGCATGCAGCAGTTTCGCGGCCTGCGTTCACCTGAACCTCACGCAGGGCGCCTGCTGCCCGAGCTCCGCCGGCATCAGGCGAGTCGGTGTGTGCTGGGCGCATGGATCGGATTCCACGCGTGGGTTTAGCAATGCAATCGGTGTTATTCAATATTTATCGTAGCGTTTGGCCGTGGTTATGTAAAAGAATTTCATCTTCCACTGCTGTTGAAGGGCTGAAGTTTGCAGCAGCTTGTCGAGAGGGTTTTCAGTGCTGCACGTTGGGGTTCTGCACATTTTCTTGAATCAGTATGTTCATGAGGTTGATCAAGTTGATCATTGCTTTACAACGGGCTAAAAGCACCCTACAGAGCTCTTTTCCAAGACCAAACCGCCCTGTCATTTAGATGGGCAGGGTGCCTATGACATTTGGGGTGGTTGACCATGTGTGGGCATTTCGGGAATTCTGGGAGCTCTTATGTTGCAGCCTTGGAGTCGTTTCCTCAGACCATAGACTCAGAAACTGTAGCATGAAACAGTTTATGACAGTTTCTGCGCCAATGGCACAGTGACGAAGGCTGTCTTGCTGTGACCTCTGATCGGCCAATGCGGTGCGGATGTGGCGAGAGGGACTGCTCCGGAGTGAGAAAGATGTACGATACTTGTACAACATAGGCATAGGTATAGAAGTAGGATGAGTATCTTGGTATTTTAGTTTCCTAGTCACTAGTCGAAGATGTGAAAGAAAAGGTCTTGAATGGTTTTGAGTTGTTTGTTTCAATCTTACTTGAGGGAACCCCACAGCTGTTTGTCCTCCTTCAGTTGTGGATGGTAGGGGTCAGGACCCCAGCACAGAGTGGTTTTCAAGGACAGGCCTGCACTGGTCGCTTGAGATTCACAGATCCATGTTGATTCAGCCATCCACCGTCCAGTGGTGGATTTGACTGTAGCTCAATTGTGAAGTCATTCATTTTGGGGATCCCCTATGACATATGAGAGGTTTCTTGTTTGGCATATGTAAGGGATTTGATGTCTACCTACCATGTGAGCCTCGCAGTGAGACTGGTGCTGGCCAGAATTGAAGAAAAGATCCAAATTTTGAAGCTGCGACGGGCTCCTCTGTGTGAAGCGCTGTGCTCGTGCGCCCGTTCAGCGGCGGCTTTCCCGCGCACAGTTGCCTCATGGCTTTCATCGGTGGCCTCAGATATCTTGAGCATGGCTAGTCAAGCTTTGGCCCCCAAGGTGAGGCAGATAGAAATTGCATGTAATTCTTGGATGCATCAGTGCAGAATTTCATGGGTGCAAAGTTATAGGTCATTGCATCATTGTCCTTGATGAGGAGACCAGAAGAGTGGTTCTGCACCTTGAGGCTACTGTGCGCAATTCACTTGCAGAGATGGCAGAGATGGTGAGCTTGCAAAGCTTCAAGCAGCATTCGGCCCTTAATTCACACAAGCATAGCCCCCCTAGGCTCAAGTGATTAATGAAAAAGCTCTCATATCCCACAGTCCGGACAGGTTGGGGAAAGAGTATATAGAACGTAATGTGGTGGTCTCCATGCTTTTGGGGTGAAGAAAAGACCGCGTGTCTCGTTGTACCGTAGATCCCGACTTCATTCCTTCCAAATGTCGATCTCAAAGACTTGGGCACTTCATCCCCAGCTCATGCTTCAACAACGACATGAGTCTCACTTTGGGAACTCCCGGGAGTTGACTGGTAGAACATGAATCCCCAATCGTTCCCACGTCCATCAGGCCCGGATGATTCTCTCGATGCTTTTGCTCCGACTTTCACCTGGGCCAAAATGGGGGGAGGACATGTGCAGTCTGCGGCGAGCCGAACCTGAGCAGTTTGACGGTCCAATGCGACTTCGAATGCGGGGCCTTTGGCCTTTGGCCAAAGAGGCTCAAAATGCGCTGCAGGTGCTTCGATCGAGATGAATTGAGCCCTTTGACCTCCCAAGTCTCCTTCCAAGGTGCGGGAGTTCTTGTGTCAAAACCGACAGCCGGAGGCCCCAGGAAGTTCAAGCGACGCAGCTTGTTTGAGGCGGTTGTGCGTGGAGACGATGCGCTTTGGAAGGTCCTGAAGGTGGAGTTGCAACCAGGGTTTGGCAGACGTAGCCTTTTTTCAAGAACAGATTGCACAATTGCCCGAGGAAAATAGCACGGACAGGGGATTGACACGTTAACATTTTGAGCTCAAAAGCATGTGAAAATGCCTTCAATCTGCAAAATCCTACAATCTTCAAATATAGATGCGAAACACTTGGCTACCAGCCGGATAGGTTGTAATGAACACCTCGTGGGAAACCTGGAGAGGTCGTGTGGAAGTTGCTACCACGCCAGATTCTATATAGGTCGATTTTCGTTCATCCACACACGAGAAAAGCTACTACAGCTTCCCAAGCATGATTTGATGTTCAACGACTTGAAGGGAACATGGTCCAGTTCAAATCAAGTACTGGTCTAGTGTTTCTCAACTCCTTTGGCACAAGCAGGTTGGATCGCAACAGCTTGATGCCCATGTGCAGGTGACAGTCTCCAGAAGCGAAGACTCGTTCTTTCTCATCTCGTCCGAAGACTCGTCTTCCGAGGCTGATCCCAGAAGTGCCCGCAGAGTCCAAGCTCAAGATCTTCCGGTTGCTGCATGACGGGTCTTTCCGGGTCTTTTCCTTTGGAAGTGCCATCCACTGACACTCATGACATAGTCAGGATACTACACTGACACTGTGTCCAAACACTTGTGCCGTACATGTTTGATCATGTTTGAACATTTCAAGAAAACCAAAAGTCGCGGACGTCTTGTGGGGTGCTAAGGTTCCCAAAGTTTTGGGTCGACGTATCGCAAGCACAAGGGGTGACGAAACCAGAGGGGCAGATCAACAAGGAAATCACATCGCCATCCCACCACACCATGTGACCCTCCACAATGACATGTGATTCTTCCATTGTGTGAAAGACATTGTGTGCAATGCAGGAATTGCCGAACCTGAAGGTATGTTCTAAATTGATGGAGTGTATCCTGCCCCATGTAAGGCAAATGGACAGTTGATGTGGAGGAAACGCTAACCTAGTTGCTTTTTCATGATGGTATGCTAGTGCTCTATATTCGAAGCAATCATGAGCCACCCAATGTGTGTCAAACAAAATAGATCAATGAATGACCAACTAACTACCTAACTAACTAACTAACTAACTTACTTACTTACTAACTAACTAACTAACTAACTAAACTAACTAACTAACTAACTAACTACGCTGTTGGTCGCCTGGGTATT